CCATTTACCTATTTCAAACCCCCTTAAATTTTGGTAGAAGTTGGAAATTTGGGGCAAATTTTTCAAAATAAATTTCAAGAAAATCCCAAAATTTAAAAATAGAGTCTAGAATAAACAATGCGGACTTTCCCTTTAAAATTTTTAAAAAACTTTTTAACTCTGTTCATTAGTCATGGCTCCAGGCAGTCTTATATCACAAAACCCTTTTTCCCTTTTGGTTTTTTTTTTACAAAAAAAAAAATAGAAAAAATTTACTGTTATGCGGGAACTACTGAAATTGAAAAAAAATTGATAAATAGTGTAAAACCTTTATACAGGGGCTGCGCATTGGGACTGGCCATTTGGGACTTTTACGGGTTGGTGATGTCATTTTTTTTAACTCATGAACATGGGCAAAAATCGAACATTTCTGCTACTTAGAGCTAAATTTTGGGGAAAACTTTTGGGGGTTAAAACCCAATGAAAAATTTATCTTTTTCTGTAATTTATCTTCCTTTCTATAAAGTGAGACCAAAAAACGGGGAAAAACCTTTAAAAACCCTACAAAAAATACACTGCAAAGTTGCTGTTTTGGGACCCAAAAACACAATCGCTTTTTTTTTTTTTCATTTTGCACTGTGGGCTGCAAGGGTTTTTTTTATATAGGGGCATACTTACCACACCAAACCCATTCTCTCAAATTTGGGCCCCAAAATTTTCAGGTCAAAGCTTATCCGAGAGAGCCGAGCTCATTGGGTTTCCGACATGGCTGCAAAGCCCTTTTTCTTTTATGAAAAAATTTTACGGTGTTTTGTGCTTTTTCACAATGAAAAGCATTTTTTTTTTATTGTTGGGCCATGGCTAGGGCTTTAAAATTTAGCAGGTTATAACCAAAAAAATGGGAAAAAAAAATTGGAAATTGCAGCAAGTAGCGTCACCAAACCCGTAGGGGGCAGGTTGGTGTGGCAAACCCCCGGGAAATTTTTAAAATTTTGTTAGCCAAAATTTGTGCCCGGATTTCTGGTTACCAGAATTTTTGATGGCCAACCGTACAGCATGTATAGTTGACCTGTGTAAATAAAGTAACAAAACTGCCTTAAATTTTTCATGTTTTTAAACAGAAAAGAAAACCCGCAATCCTTTCCTTTTTTTGAAACAATTACAAAGGGTTTTCCCTTTTACACTCACTTGGCAGGACGTAGTCCTCCCGGGTTGGGTTTCTGGTTTCCAAAACCCACTACCTCCCGTCAAATATTTTGGGTATGAGAAATTTCAAAAATTTGTTTTAAACCCCTTTTGGGGGGCGACAAAGGGCCCCCTCCGAAAAAATCGTTCCCAGGGCGGCCCAAAATTTTTAAAAAAAAAAAATTATTTTCTCTTTGAAAAAATAGAGAATTCTTTTTCCCCATCAAAAAAGGGAAACCCCAAAAATTTGAAAAATTTTATAGAAAAAATTCCCGGAAATTAAAAGCTCTCGGGAAAGTAGCGGTCTCGGCGATGTTTACGCATCGGGGTTTTTTCCCACTTTGGGGCCCCAAATTTTTGGCCCAAATTTTACTGTATAGTCGAAAAAAAAAAAAACATGAAAATTTTTTCGCTAGAACCCATTTTTTTTTATCGAAAGGGTGCAAGAAACCCCCCCATTTATGAAAAATTTAACTATCCAGTACAGTGGTTTAGAATTTTTGCAATTTTGCCAATTTCACATAAATTTCAAAAAATGCCAATTTCCGAATTTGGGTCGAGAAAAAAAAAAAGAAAGCATTTTTGACACTTTAAAAAGACATTTCCTCTAGGGCATTGTCCCCGTCCAAGGCCCCCCCAAATTCTTTTGCTTTTTTTACTTTTTAAAATTTTTTTTTTCACAAAAAATATAAGATTTTCTGTTTTTTGGGAGGCTACTGCATTATGTAAAAAATGGTTTTAAATAAATTTTTGGTGGGACTTGTGAAAAAAATATTAGACTCACCCGTTGACGTGTAAATTTCACGCTTGGCACATTTGTTTACTTTTGAATTTTTGGAAAAAAACGAAATTTCTGCTACTTTTAGCTTTAATTTCAAGGGACCTTTCATTGTAAAACAATCAAAATCATCTCAATTTCTGTAAAATGTCTTCCCTTTATAAAATGAGACCAAGGGGAAAAATAGAATAAAAACAATAAATACCCCTACGAAAATACACTGCAAAGTCGCTGTTTTATTCAAAAAAAAAAAATCAAAGTTTTTTTTTTTTTCATTATGCACTGTGTGCTTTCAGGATTTTTTTTAGACGTGGGACCTTACCCCATAGACCCTTTTTTCCAAAAAGAAGGCCTACCCGCTTTTTCTCCCACAGATTTGAGGGCCCCTAGAATTTTTGGTTTTTTGTACGCAAAAACCCCCCCGTAAGAGTACTTACGGGCCCCAAAAACCCCCAAGGGGTTTAAAGTAAGATGCGCCCCCCCCTTTTATTTAAGATACTAAAAGGGACTACCTGCTGCAAAGTTTTTTAAAATTAACCCAACTTGTTTTTTTAAAGTTTTAAGCTTTGTTTTTATGTTTTTTTTTTTTTTTGTCTTTCTGCAGTTGTCCTTTCACCAGAAGGGAAACACTTCAGCATTTCCCAAACCCAGGGGCCAAATTTAAACCTTTTATGTGACAGTAATTTCTGCCGAATAACAGTGTCAGCAGTTATATTATAAAACAGCCCCCACTGTCATTACATACTATCTTCAAGGGCACCTCGCACCCTTGGGTTTCTACATATATACTCAGCATCCGGGGTCATTCCCTGCAGGCTTGTGTCTTGGTTGCTAAATTTAACCCTACTCCCGGGATCCTGTGAAAAGTAACTTCACTAATGGAACTGTTTTTAGTGCAGTCTGTAACATATTTCTGTAATTTCTGTGCCCATCGAACTGCTGCACATCCCTTTCCTACATATAGTGAACTAAAGTTTTTAAATTGAAATTAGTATTATATTTTTTAAAAATTTTTGCTTTTTTTAAAACTGAAAAATTAAAAAAATAATGAAAAGTGTGTAATTAAATTTCCAAAAGTTTTAAAAATTTAACTTTGATTTTTCTTAATATTTTTTAAATTGCGTTTTGTAAATAATCTACCACTGAAGGGGGGGGTTTTTAAAGTTGAAATTTAAAAACTGTAGTGTAAAGACCCTTCTGGGAAGACATTTATGGGTGAATTATGGTGAAAGTTTTTTTTTTTTTTGGGCCCCCCTGCCTTAGTGGGGTTGGCCCGGTTTTGCTAATAATAATAAAAAAAATAAATAAAACTACTTGAAAATAGTATTTTATACATGTATGTAAAGTACTTGGTTTCCAAAAATTTAACAGGGATTCTTAATGAAACCTTAATGTTTAAAATCTGGATTAATTCTTTTCTTCATATTTTTCTTCACAAGTATAAGTTATTTATTTAATCAAATATTCTTGTTAAATAATATTTTCCCGCTAATATTATTATTTTTTCCTCATTGTTGGTTTTTATGACCTGACTTTTTGAAACCCGTACTTTTTAAACTAATGTACAGAAACCCCTTTATCTGGGGTCTTGCCTTATGCTATAAAACTCAACACATGAAAAAACCAAAAAAAATTTGGGGGTCCCGTCAACAATTTTACCTTATTTAAAATAAATTTTATAACTGAATTAGAAATAGTAATAAACCAAACCTTAGGCCTTGTGAAGTATAATCACAATTTGCATGGCTTTTGGGTTTTCCAAGTTAAATGTAATAATCTCCTTTTCCACTTTTTTTTCACATTTTATGGGAAGGGAAATAAAGGGGCCCTTCACCCTCACATATATTAGTTGTGGTGGAACTGCGAATGCATCACAATTCAAATAACCCTTTTTAAACAGAAACTTAAATTTTAAATTCTCATACTTTTTAAGTAAAGATACAAGCAATTTTTTTGGGTGCATGGTGTAAAATTTTTTAACATGTGTTGTTAAACTATACTTTAAAAATTTTTACAGTTTAAAAAAAAAAAATTGCATAAATTTTAAAAGTTTAAAAAGTTTTGTGTGTGTTTCAGAAAATTTGACAGTTTAGAGTTTTATACATAAAAAATCAAAGAAAAATGCATTTGTTTTTTTTATTCTTTAAAACTATTTTTTGTTAAAAATTTTTCTATTTTCCCTACTCAAGATAACTTAACATGAAAACATTTTAAATGTTGAAGAAAATTTCATCCCCAAAAACATCACAAGCATTGAAAAAAAAAAAAGGTCCCGGAGAGCCCCCCTTTATGCTCCAGAATATTTAACAAAATCTAAACAAAAATCCTCTGTAATAAGACAGGGTAAGATTCAACAGAAGGAAGCCCACTCAATGTTTAGTAAGTCCAAAAAAAATTTTACCCCGAAAAAAAAACACATTAGAAGGAGCCCCTCCCGGATTTATGTAAAAGAAAATCTTCTAAATCACACCATTTTTTTATTTTTTGTTCAAAACATTTTTCAGAAAAAAAATTTATTTACAAAAAAAATGGGAAAAAACCCTCAGGAAAAATAAACCAAAATTACTTTTTTCAAAAAGTCAAAAGGGGGTTTTTAAAGGGGGAGGGAAAGGGCTAAAAACGGCATTTAAGAAACACCCGGAGAAAATCCCTTTTATGTATTTTGTGTTTTAAAAAACCTTTCAACCAAAAAAGTTCTGAAACCCCAAAATATGGGGGGTTTTTTTCAGGTGAAAAAGCCCCCACCCAGTGTTTATGTGTAAAAAAAATTTATTAAAAAATCTGTTTTAAAAAGCACCCTTTGAGCTCCTTCAGAAGGGGAAAATTTTTAAACAGGTTCGGTATGTTTTAAAAAATCGTTTTTTAGAAAAAAAAACGCATTTGGATGACCCCTTAAAAAGGTTTAAAATGGAGGGAAAACCCTATTAAATGGGGAAATGTGTTTTAAAAAAGGTTTTTTTTAAATAAAAAAAAGCTAAAAAAGGGCCCACAAGAAAATCATACAGGAGAAAAAAAAACCTTTTTAGTGTCAGTGTGTCGAGAATTTTTTAATAAACAGTTCTTGGACGACACATGGTAATTCATTCTGATGAGAAATATCAGTGTTCAGTGTGTTCCAAAGATTTCTCACAAAAATCACTTCTTGATCAGCACCTGAGAATCCACACAGGAGAGAGACCATTTCGTTGTTCAGCATGTCCAAAACGCTTTCTAAATAAGGCAAGGCTAACAAAGCATGAGAGAATTCATACAGGAGAAAAGCCATTTCAGTGTTCAGTGTGTCTTAAAAACTGTTCTGAGAAAGCAAGTCTAGTACGACACATGAGAATTCATACAGGAGAGAAACCATACAAGTGTTCACTGTGCCTAAAAGACTTCTCAGATCCATCGAGTCTAATACGACACAGGAGGATTCATACAGGAGAGAAACCATATGAATGTTCAGCGTGTTCAAAAAAATTTTCACAGAAAATACATCTAGACCAGCATTCAAAAATTCATAAAGAAGAAAAACCATACAAATGTTCAGGGTGCACAAAAAGATTCTTTTATTTATCAAGTCTAAAACAACATGGTAGATGCCATACAGGAGAAAAGCCATACCAGTGTTCAGTATGTCTAAAGGACTTGTTAGATAGAACAAGTTTAATACAACACATGAGAATTCACGAAAGAAAGAAATATCAGGGTTCATTACGTTCAAAGAGAGTTTCACAGTTGGCTGATGTAAAACTACACCTAAAAGTTCATACACAAAGAAAACGATATAAATGTTCACTGTGTGTAAAAGGATTCTTCAGTAAAGCAAATTTAATAAGACATAAGAAAAGTCATATAGGAGAAAAACCACTTCAATGTTCAGTTTGTCTAATAGACTTGTTAGATGGTACAAATCTAATAAAACACATGTTAACTCATAAAACAGATAAACCACATCAATGTTCGGAATGTCTAAAAGACTTTTTAAATAAATCCAGTTTAAAACAGCACATGAAAGTTCATAAAGTTAAATCATATGAGTGTTCAGTATGTCTAGTAGAATTTAAAGATAAATCATCTTTAGAACAACACACTACAGTTCATAAAGAAGAGAAAGCTGAGGAGAGTTCAGTTTGCAGAGGAACTCTTGCAGTTAAAGTGGAAGATGTCACAGTTCCTTCTGATCAGAAGAGTGAGGAGAGTTCAGTATTGGATGGAGATTTTATGGGTAAAGAAAAAAAAACAGTTTGCGCAGAAAATATGATATATCAGTGTACAGTGTGTCACAATGGGTTTACAGATAAAGGAGATGTTATACAGCACATGAAAGTTCATAAAGAAGGAAAGCTTGAGGATAATTCTGTGAGTGTAGGGGATTTTAAATGCAAAAAAGAAGATGTTGCAGCTTATGCAGATGAGAGGTCATGCCAGTTTTCAATGTCTGTACAAAACGTATCAGATGAAAACAGTGAACACACTGAAGTTCATGGAGAAGACTTACAAGATAAGACCATTCTAAATGAACATGGGACAGTTCCAGTAGTAGATATATTATATAAGTGTTCAGAGTGTCAAAAATATTTTGCTGATAAAGATATTATCAAGCAACACATGAAATTTCACAGAGAAGAAAAATCTGAAGTGAATCCAACGAGTGTTGGAAATTATTTTTCTGGAATAGAGGAAAACACAGGAGTTCATACTGAAGATATATTATATCAGTGTTTCGTGTGTCTTGAAGAATTCGCAGATGAAAAAATTCTCTTGCAACACACAGAAGTTCATGGAGAAGAGAAACACGATGATTGTTTATTAAGTGTGCAAGACCTACAAGATACAACAATTCCTGGTGAACACGTGGCAATTACTGTAGCAAATATATTATATCAGTGTTCAGTGTGTCAAAAAGATTTTGCTGATAAAGATATCATCAAGCAGCACATGAAATTTCACAGAGAAGAAAACTCTGGAGAGAGTATGTATGTGGGGAATTTTTCTGGAACAGAGGAAAACACAATATTTCATACTGAAGATATATTATATCAGTGTTCAGTGTGTCTTAAAGAATTCACAGATGAAAAAATTCTCATGCATCACATGAAAGTTCATGGAGAAATTAATCCTCATGAGAGTTCAGATTGTGTAGATTTTAAAGATAAAGAAAAACATGTGACAGTTCATACAGAAGATGTAATATACCAGTGTTCAGTGTGTCAAAAAGAGTTTACTGATGAGAAAATGGTCATGCAACACGTGGCAACTCATCCAGCAGAGAAAACTTTCAAGTGTTCAGTGTGCCTTAAAGAGTTCCCAGAAAAAGAAATTTTGGAACAACACATGAAAGGTCATTCAGAAGGGAACCCAAATAACTGTTCAGTGTGTTCAAAAGCCTTTTTAACTAAAGGATACATAAAACGACACATGAGAGTTCATACAGGAGAAAAGCCATATCAGTGTTCAGTTTGTCTAAAACACTTTACAGATAAAGCAGTTGTAATGCGACACATGAGAATTCATACAGGAGAAAGACCATACGAGTGTTCAGTGTGTCTGAAAGGTTTTACACAGAATTCACATCTAAAATACCACATGAAAAGTCATCCGGGGGTAAAAGTGGAGAAATCGCAGAAATGTTTAGTATGTTTAAAAAGAATTTCTCCAGAAACTTTAGAACAGCACTTGAAAGTTCATTTAGGAGATAAACCGTATAACTGCTCACTGTGTCAAAAAGGCTTTGCAAGTAATACCAGTCTAATAAGACATAGGAAAGTTCACTCAGGAGAGAAAACACATCAGTGCTCAGTGTGTTTAAAATCTTTTTCAAGAAACTCTCATCTTAAACAACATTACAAAATCCATACTGGAGAGAAACCGTTTGAGTGTTCAGTATGTTTCAGAAGATTTATACAAAAAATACAGCTTCAGAAACACTTCAGAATTCACACAGGAGAGAAACCATACAACTGTCCAGAGTGTCTAAGAGACTTTAGGTCAGATGTTAGTCTTAAAAAACACATGAGAGTTCATACATGAGAGGAATGTTATATGTAGAGTGTTCACTAAGCTTTTCATGAAAACCAAATATAGAGTAGCACTTGAGTATTCACAAAAAAAGACTTTACAGCTTTTCAGTTTGTCAAAAAAAATGTTTCAAATAAAGTATGTCTAAACCAACATGAGAATTAGAGTTCATGTGAAAGAAAAAATAATACTGTTCATCTTATATGGGAGTTCCAGGACCCGACAACCAGTACCAAGCACCCTACAGTCCAGTACCAAGCACCCTACAGTCCAGTACCAAGCACCCAAACAGTCCAGTACCAAGCACCTACAGCCAGTACCAAAGCACCCTACAACCAGTACCAAGCACCCTACAGTCCAGTACCAAGCACCCTACAGTCCAGTACCAAGCACCCTACAGTCCAGTACCAAGCACCCTACAGTCCAGTACCAAGCACCCTACAGTCCAGTACCAAGCACCCTACAGTCCAGTACCAAACACCCTACAGTCCAGTACCAAGCACCCTACAGTCCAGTACCAAGCACCCTACAGTCCAGTACCAAGCACCCTACAGTCCAGTACCAAACACCCTACAATCTCCATTTAGGATTGTCCTATGCTCAGTCAGAGGTGTAGGTCATGAATTATGACCTATATCTTTTTGAGGTCACAGGAAAACAAATTTTTTGAAACAGTAACTTGGGTAATAATTTACATTTTTTTTTAACACACTGGCCATCTCCCACCAGTGCAAATCCATATGTATATACATATATATACATATGTATATGCACTGGTGGGAGATGACCAGCATGTTTAATAAAATATGGAGCACAAGGCTTCTAATGATGAGTTTTATTTCTCTAGGTCAAAAATTTATTTATTCTAGAGGTCATAGTATAACTACAGAATCTAACACATGATTTAACTAAAAATAATGACTGATGTATTTTCTAAAAGAAATAAATAAAAATATTTGTGTATATGCATGTTTTTATTACAGTAAGGACCTCAATTAATCTCGTGTAATTCTTAATATATAATTACTGTCTCGATGGGCTGTCTCCCATCCAGACAGGGTGACTCAAAGAAATGCTTTCTCCATCACTCACATGACCCTAATGGGTTTAGTGCTTGGTTTTGATTATAATAATAATTCATCACTCACACTATCAGTATCTTGCCAGAGGTGTGCCACTACTATAGTTCAGATGCCCCTCCAAACTGCAATATCCCCACTACTCCTTCAGAGTGCAGGCACGGTGCTTCCCGCCTCCAAGACAAGTCCAGATAACCGTTTAACTGAATCCTTTCATAAACGTTACCTTGCTGTCTTCAAGCAGGCACTGGACAAGCACCTGAAGTCGGTACCTGACCAGCTGGGCTGTGGCTCGTATGTTGGATTGTGTGCAGCCAGCAGTAACAGCCTGGTTGATCAGGCTCTGATCCACCAGGAGGCCTGGTCACAGACTGGGCCGTGGGGGCTTTGACCCCCAGAACTCTCTCCAGGTAAACTCCAGCTCACACTCCAACAGCAGCATATAAAAACCAATTGTTTCCACTCCTAACACACCGACTGAATGTCTAAGCCCTTTGCATACATAACCACCTTTACTCCCTCCAACCTTTCCTAGGGTGACCCCTACCTCGCCTTCCTTCCACTACAAATTGATACACCCTCCAAGTCATAATATTTTTCTCAATTTTTAAATGTCCACTCACCTCAAAAACCCCTCCTCAGCTCTCTTATATAATACTTTAGTAATCCTGCACCTCTTTCTAATCTCCAAACTATAAATTGTCTCCATAATATTTATATCACACATTGTCCTCAGACATGATATTTCCACTGCCTCCATCCTGCTCCTCCTCAAGAGAGGTTCCGTGATGCTGGTTTACTTGGAGAGAGTTTCGGGGGCCAATGCCCCCGCGGCCCGGTCTGTGACCAGGCCTCATGGTGGATCAGAGCCTGACCAACCAGGCTGTTACTGCTGGCTGCACGCAATCCAGCTTGCGAGCCACAGCCCGGCTGGTCAGGTACCGACTTTAGGTGCTTGTCCAGTGCCTGCTTTAAGACAGCCAAGGGTCTGTTGGTAATCCCCCTTATGTATGCTAGGAGGCAGTTGAACAGTCTCGGGCCCCTGACACTTATTGTGTTGTCTTTTAACGTGCTAGTGACACCCCTGCTCTTCATTGTGGGGATGTTGCATCGTCTGCTGAGTCTTTTGCTTTCGTAGTGAGCGATTTTCATGTGCAAGTTCGGTACTAGTCCCTCTAGGATTTTCCAGGTGTTTATAATAATGTATCTCTCCCGCCTGCGTTCCAGGGAGTACAGGTTCAGGAGCTTCAAGCGCTCCCAGTAATTGAGGTGTTTTATCTCTGTTATGCATGCCGTGAAGGTTCTCTACATTTTCTAGGTCAGCAATTTCACCTGCCTTGAAAGGTGCTGATAGTGTGCAGCAATATTCCGGCCTAGATAGAACAAGCGACCTGACGAGTGTCATCATGGGCTTGGCATCCCTAGTTTTGAAGGCTCGTCTTAATGTTTCCCCTGATCAACATGATGACTTTGTTGCACATGTGACTGACTGGTATAATTCCTATGAGTGTACCTCTGTCGAGACTTTTAACAATGACCTTGTGAGCAGTATTCAGAACTTCTTAGAGCCGCCTCTGAAACCTACTACTCTAAATCCAAATGACTTCCATAATAATCATAAGTCTTATAAAAATCATACCTATTACATTGATTCTAAACTTCGAACATTGAAACGTACTGCTCGCAGACTAGGCCTAGCCTATAGAAACCATCGTACCCCTGAAATGCTGAGCCTCTTCCAAACTGCCCTTGCTGCTGCCAGAGAGCGTATGACAGAGCTGCGGCAAACAGACTGGGAACAATTTGTCAATGGTCTCAATGCTCACACCCCACTTAGCCGGGCATGGAGGGACATAAATAGAATTAAGGGTAACAGAACTGGGCAGATCGCGCACCCTCATCCCTTGCATAGGGCGAATGAGTTAGTCAGTGCTTGGGCTGCTACATCTAGCTATGACAGTCTTCCCAGTACCACACAGGCGAAATTAATGGACAAATATGATGCAAGGGAGAGACTTGTTTGTTTTATGCTCAGCAAGGCAGATGACTGCAACATTCCTTTCACTAATTATGAACTTGATGCAGCACTAACTAAGGGCAACTCCACGTCGCCTGGTGAGGATGGTATTACTTACAACATGCTCAGATTGCTGTGTCGAGTACCAGGTAATCCTTTACTTGAATTATATAACGTGAGTTATGTCACTGGGGAGCTCCCTAAATCATGGACCAATAGCCTCATTATTCCCATTCCGAAGCCCAATCAACAAACTCATTTCGCCCAATATCTCTTACTAGCTGCTTGTGTAAAACATTCGAAAGGATGATTCTTAATCGTCTTATGCACAGAATTAAGGAATTCTTGTCACCCCGGTTGCATGGCTTCATGCATGGAAGGAGTGTGCATCATTGCATTACCACCTTTCTCACTCTGCACACTGACAGCTCATACACTACGTTCCTTGACCTTAAATCCGCTTTTGATGTAGCCAACCGACATGTAATCATTAGTGAACTTGCCAGAATGGATGTTGGAGGATGGCTTCTCCGATGGATTAAAGGTTACCTGTCCAACAGAAAGTCGTCTGTGTTGTTCCAGGGACATAGAAGTGTAACTAAAGATTTTGAATTAGGAACCCCACAGGGAGGTGTGCTTAGTCCCACCCTTTTCAACATTTTGATTAATGCCTTACTTAATGCCATGCCTAGCCAGCCCCATCATTATATGGTTAGTTTTGTTGATGACATAATGATTCACACCACCGGATTCTCCAACACCCAAAACATTCTTAATCATGTACTAGCCTCGTGTCAGGACCTGGGGTTAATAATCACAGGGGATAAAACAAAGATACTCAACAGGCGTCCTCCTCGGCAGAGGCACAGTTCGTCAGATCCAGTTGCATGATGGGTCTCTTCTAGAATATGTAAGCAGATACAGGTATCTAGGCTTTGAGGTTCCACTACTTGGACCTGTTGTAACGAGACTTTGTCGCCAATACAAAGAAAGGCTGAGAGTACTTAGAGTTGTGGCAGGTTTTCATCCCAGGTATGGTGCTAATGTTAAAATTGTGAAAATGATGTATCTTGCTTATATTAGATCATTGGTTGATTATGCGGCGCCACTACTTGCACTCGTGTCTGACTGGAAGCTTGGAGGGCTGGAAAAACTGCAAAACGAAGCAATGAGGATCATCCTAGGATTCCCTCGTACTGCCAAAATTTTAAATATGCGGAAAGAACTAAATATTCCAAGCATTAGAGATCGTGTTACTGAAAGAAATATCCTTATTGGGGTCAATATGCTTAGGCTAGCCCATTCAAACCCCTGCACAGAAGCCCTTCAAACTTTCCTCAGCACTGGTGAACATCCTTCCAGATGGATCGAAAAATCTGGAACCGACCTCCGCATGAACCAGCTACATGATTTATATCAAGTTAGACAACAGAGACATTTCCCTGCTCCATGGGATATTACCCCATTCCAAACTACCAATCCTCCATTTCCCCCCAAAACTCTTCTTAAATCACAACCAAAGCTTCGTCTTGAAGCCAAACATGATGCCTTAAGCTGTATTGATAACTTAGTCACACAGAACACTCTTTCACAAATTATTTACGTCGATGGTTATGTTCACCAGTCCACTGGTGCAGCTGGTAGTGCTGCTGTTGTCACACAGAGTGATGGCTCTCATAAAGAAATTGGAGCGCGCATCAATAACTGGGCCTCTACCCTTCAAACAGGACTGTTTGCCATACTCCTTGCACTCAAATGTGTCCATGTATCTAAGTTGACACTTTAATTGTAACTGATTCTCTGTCATCCATAAATGCTCTCAACTCATTAAGTTATAAATTGTGGCAATGCTTGTGTCAGAAGCCAGACATAGGTATGGTAAGATTGTGGACAGTGGAGTCAGAGTGCGATGCTTGGGATTCCATCTCACATTGGTCTTCAATGCATGATAGACTGATAAATTTGCATAAGCTGTATGCTTTCAAAGAGGGGTAGATTACAATCTTGGGTTGTCAGTTAGCAGTTTTTAGAACAATAATACGAAAAGAACTTCAAATGAACTTTATTGGGCTTAAGACTTAGGGAGATTGACACAAGTCAGTCCATCTATCATCATTCCATCATGCAGGAGGAGCCACATGTCTATGGTGCATCCAACAAGATAAGCAGACTCTTGGATGTCACTACTGGGCCCGGCTCCGGCTGGTTACAAGTATCTTTGGCAGGTTAAATCACCACCACCAGATGTAGACCAAACGAAATGTAAACTTTGCCAGATGGACATTTAAACCCCTTGCGTCATTATGTACGGATGGACCAAATTAATGAATTTAGAAAAATCACTCAGAAAGTTCAAAAAAGGGAAAAGTATTTTACCCACAGGGGTTTTAATTGCAGACCATTGTGGGAAATACCCTGACTTTGCACTGTAAATAATGCATTACCAGGGTGTTTGTGTGTGTGTGTGTGTTTTGTGGGGTGGTGTTACCACCTAGTTGACCACCTAGTTGGGGTTTGCAGGGGTGAGTCCAAGCTCGGCCCCGCCTCTTCACTGGTCCTACGGTATCCCCCCTGAACCATAGCTTTAGTCCCTCTGCTTAAAGCATGTATGGATCCCCCTCCAACATCGCTTCCCAAACTATTCCCTTCCTGACACTTGTGGCTGAAGAAATACTTCCTAACATCCCTTGATTATCTGTGCTTCACTTCCAACTGTTCCCCCTGTTGCTTGTCCCGTTCTGGGAAAATCCCTTCTTTGTCCACCTTTTCAATTCCTCAGTTTTTGTAAGTCTTATCAGTCCCCCCCACTCTCCTGCCTCCAGTGTCGTCAGGTTGATTTCCCTTAACCTTCCTCATAGGACATACCTCTTAACTCTGGGACCAGTCTTTTTGCAAACCTTTGCACTTTCTCTAGTTTCTTTACATGCTTGGGTAGGGGGGGTTCCAAACTGGTGCCCATACTCCAAATGGGGCCCAAGTACACGGGGGTAAAAGGGTCCTGAACGATTCCAAATTTAAAAGTCGGGGAAACTGTTCTGAGGTTTGCCAGGGGCCCATATGCTGCAGCAGTTATTTGGTTGTGTGGGCTTCAAAATTGCCTGGTGTTAACTCCCCCAAATCTTTTTCCCTTTAGTGTTTTTGTTCTCTGGCCCCCCAGACTGTACCCGCTGCGGTCTTTTTTTGCCCTTCCCAATCCTCATGACTTTGCACTTGGGGGGATTGAACTCCAGGGACAGTTGCTGGACCAGGCTGAGCTACCGATCCCTTTTTAGTTCTGCCGGTCTTCGATCGACTGAAAATCTTCTCATCAACTTTACGCTCTGCAAACGGACACCTCGGGGTTTTTCCCTTTCCCTATGCGTTCACAAATACCAGAAACAGCAAATGGTTTCCCAGGACTGACCCCGGGGGCCCCGCTGGTCCCCCCTACAC